GCAGAAGGAAAAGGTGGCAAAAAAACCACCAAGATCTAAGCAAGTCTGGATGCCAAAGGCCAAGTCAACATTTAAGGAAAAAGCATCCGAGGCTGCTCTCCGGCCTTTGTCAACTCCAGATCCCACTCCTATTGCTCCCGCACTTCCGGTGAAGCAATCTCGAAAGAGAAGTACCCGGGAAGCGGACTCTCACTGTCCGTGTATCAAAATTATCAGGGCAGTATTATCAGCGTGTAGCTGCCCCAAGACCGCTCCACAAAGGGTCTCGATATTTGAAAGGATCTCCCCCAGAACGCCAAAGACCAACCTAAGGCGTTTCTGTAGAAAAAGTTCAACTATGCGAGATGATGAACTTCCAGAAGTCACAGTTAATATGGTTGATAAGGGGAAGTCAACGCGAAACTTCAATCCTCGTCATCTTTCGGACATATCCCAACGTATAACTCGGTTACGGTCGGGAACCGTTAGACAAAGGGACTATCAGAGGATGAATCAAGGATTATCCTCGGATGACGAAGTGTCAGATGCTAACTCTGCAGTCGCTTCTGACAAAACGGTATCCAGCCTAGGTCAATCCCGTGAAGTGTTGATGGTTAGCACAGACGAGATCACTAAAATGGTTGAGGATGCCTTGGCCAAACAAAAAGAGATCTTCAAGTTCGAAATGGAAATGGCCATGATGTGAATGAGGGAAGAGCATGATCAACAAATTCGGGTTCTGTCCAATCAAGTCAGAGTTGAATCCAGCCGTCGTACCCAGAACGTCACAATCGACAACGATCCAGAAGTGGACGAAATCATCATGGCCGACGCACCTCCCAAAAATACTGGATGTAGTTCAAATGCACCCCCTTCAGATAACAACGCTGGGGGTGGTTCCGCCAAAGATAATAACACTGGGGTTGTTCCCACTAAGGATAACAGGACTGGGGGTGGTCCCACCAAAGATGATAATGCTGGTGGTGGCCGCATTATTCCTCTCAGAAATTGTCCAAAACATGATATAAATGAGGACGAAAAGATGAAGGATCTCGAGAGCAAAATCGACGCTCTGATGTCTGCTCGAGAGGTGAAGAAAACCAGCATTCCGTATCCTTACCCGAAAGAGTGGGATTCGATCCCGTATCCGGCGAAGTTCAACCTGATCAACTTCACGCCGTTTGACGGGAAGGGCTCGCCCACTCAGCATCTAATCTACTTCAAGTCCCATTTGGGTACAATCTCTGGCAACGAGCCTCTTATAGTCCGGTCATTTGTTGGCACCCTTCGCGGGCCCGCCTTCGATTGGTACCGCCGCCTCAAGCCCGGAAGCATCAATAGCTGGGAGGACCTGGAAAGCATGTTCCTCACTCATTTCTTCGATGATGATGCCGAAGTGTCGATCAGGACACTCTTCGATGAGAAACAAAAAGACGGAGAGTCGGTGGATACCTTCATCAAACGCTTCCGCAATCAGGCAATGAACTGCAAGGATCCCGTCACGGAGGAATTCGTCTTGCAGACCTGTCATAACAACTTTTCTTCGATGATGATGCCGAAGTGTCGATCAGGACACTCTTCGATGAGAAACAAAAAGACGGAGAGTCGGTGGATACCTTCATCAAACGCTTTCGCAATCAGGCAATGAACTGCAAGGATCCCGTCACGGAGGAATTCATCTTACAAACCTGTCATAACAACTTGTCCATTAACATCTTGGACGTTATGGGAGTAGAGCCACTCAATACCTAGAGAGAGTTGAAGGCGCGCGGAGAGCAGGCCGAACGATTCCTTAGAAGGAGGAAGGTTGAAAGATGTCAACCGATGACTTACCATCTGAATCCGAATCTCGTTTCCCATAATGAAGGGAAAGCACCTACAACAGTTGTTGACGTTAATCAGACGTCACAACAGCAGCCCCGAAGACAGCAGAAGACTTCGGATCCGAGGCTCCAAAAAGAGTACTCATTCAAGGACGAAGACGTTCCAGCCATCTTCGAGACCCTTCTTGAAAACAACAAAATCAAGCTGCCACCCATCACGAATCAGGAGGAAGCTGACAATACTGCGGATCCGAAGTACTGCGCGTACCACAGGAGGATCCTTCATCCCACCAAGGCTTGATTAGCTCGAGGCATCAAATCACACCCTCAACCCTCACATATAACCCCACAAATGCATGAATTAAATTGAGCATGAAAAAGATCCAAATTGTGGAAGATTTACCTGAAGAAAGGCTCGAGATCCAACGAAGATGAGACCTTTTAGGAAACTTTCACCACGTGCTCGAGGGGTCTGAGAGGAATTCTAAAAAATGATTTTTTGAAGGATTTCTCAGTCAAGGATCCAAAGGAAGACCAGGTCTAAGACCACTACGATGTTTGGATGGCGAAAGGACGCTCGAGGGAAAAGAAAAATCAAAAATAGGGATGAGGGGGGGCCGGCCCTAGAGAGGAGAAGAAAAAGAGAGAAAAAGAGGAAAAGAGACCCCCTTTTATAATGTGGACCAAGGTGAACCGGACCGGGCCAAGTTGAACCGAACCGGACCAATCCAAATCAGTTCAAAAGAGACTGAATTAAGCGTCGAGACGACTTCAAATCAACTAAGGGTCCCATCCTTGGTTTATTCCTGTCTCTCCCACACATTCGGAAGGAACGGAAGAAATTTTTTGAGCCAAATTACTGCCTTTTTTGGCTCATTTTCAAGCCGGTTCAGCTTATTTTGAGCACGGAAATACTCCAATAAGGTATACGAGTATAAACTATTTCCTATTGTTGTTGAGAAGTTCCTGGAGAATATTTTTCTAAAAATATTCTTAAGGATAACTCAATAACACGACGTCGGACAACGTGTCACAAGTGAGGATTCAACACCGACAATCGAGCGTTAGTTGCACGTCGAACCAACCAACACGAGTTAAAGATTGGAAAATCAGGAATCGACTTCAAGTTCAAATTCCAACAACGGTCAGACAATAAATGCAGCACCGGAACCCATACAGGCATTCTACGAAGCACTGAATGACCTGAGGGATTGAAGGAATACAGAACGAAGGTCATTCCAGGTCCCGTTACACTGACAAAGGGTAGGGGCAATCATATCCAAAGCATTCCAGACTCTTCTATAAAAGAATGAGGCTGAAACACTTTGGAGGGGGTATCTGTAGGCGTATAAAATTACCTATAGGTCCCTTAGCATGGTTCAGCATGATGGTTCGACAAATCAACGGATGTTCGAGCGACGAGGCGATAAAGCACACAAACAACGGCATATGTTCGCCTGTGGAACCAATCCAACAGTTCGGAAAGTCAACGAGTCGTCCAACGACAAAATAGATTTGTACTCAAACACCGAGGCGGAAATACTGCCAAATAAAGACCCGGGCTATCAAATCAAAGTCCGGACGAATCAAACGAAGAACTGAAAGACGGAAAACACCGGAAAACGGCGAAACGGAACACACCCGGGGACTCGGCCTAAGCCGAGCCAACCCGGGGTGGCTCGGCTAAAGCCGAGCCCCCCAAGCCGAGCCACCCCAGGGTGGCTCGGCATGAGCCGAGCCACCCTCAGGTGGCCCGACTCCCCCCCCTCTCTCTCTTGTGCACAAAGGCACAGTTCAGAGAGGCTATAAATAGGGGGGGGTGGTTGTTCATTTGAGGACTTCTTCGGAAACTTTTGAGAGAGCCGAAACTCTGCCGGATTGTCACCTCAACTCGGAGATCTGAAGGCTTGAAGACTTGGAGACCCGGATTTGATTCTTAGCGAGCACCCGCACCGAAAAAGGCAGGAGTTCGAGAGAGTCTAATCCTCAGATCTACGTCGTCACACTCCGGATCTAAGCTTGGTTCTTAGATCCCGAGATTCGAGCGGTTGTTTCCTTGGTGAAACAATCCCTCCCGGCTATTATTCCCTTGGTGGAATATTACCCGTCATATCGTGTAGATCCGACCGGATCGAGATCACGCGGTGGTCCACGGCAAATAACCCCGGCGCAGGCAAACAACCCACAGAAGCAAGAGACCGAATAACAGGATCTTGTGATTTGTTCGGTAAAAGAGAGAAGTTGTAATTTTGATTTCTTTGTTTTATTTTGATTTTCATTGTAAGCCGGATCTTATAAAAAGACCGGATCACTTTGTAACGCATAAAGTTGTTAACTGAGTGCAATGACATCGACAATGAAGAAAACACCAACTTTTCCCGCGAACATTTAGCAAATCACCCCATCCCCATATCTTCTAAACTTTGTGAAGACATCTCGAATGAAGTCTTCGAGTCAAATATTACCTTGAACCACCTAGTATGATAACTTTACTTTGAAGGTGCATCAAGACGGAGTCACACTACTGGATTTTCAGCTTTTAGCGATGGACAATTCCGTCGCCAAAACTTTTAGCAACAGAAAAAATAAAATTCCGTCACTAAAAGGTCGACCCTACATTTAGTGTCCCTAATTTAATCTTTAGCGACGAAATTTCCGTCGCTAGTTTTCAGCAACGGGGTATTAGCGACGAAAAATCCGTCGCCATTTTTTTTCAAAAAAATAAAAAAATATTAACGACGGAATTTTCGTCGCTAATAAAATTTTTAGCGACGGAATTTCTGTCGCTAATACTTGTATTTATTTCTTAATTTTTTCCCCGTGTCAGTTTTCCGTTGCTAAATATATGAAAATCCATCGCTAAAATTTTTTTTAGGGACGGAATATCTGTTGCTAAAAGTTGTATTTATTATTTTAATTTTTTTCCCGTGTCCGTTTTCCGTTGCTAAATATGTATTTAGCGACGGAAAATCCGTTGCTAAATATTTATGTAGCGATGGAAAATCAGTCTCTAAAAATAACCATTATTTTTAAAAAAATATTTTAAAAATTTAAAATACCCTGTACAATATCGATAATAATTTTAAAAACCTTGTTCAATCAGCAGTATAATATTCAATCCTATGCATATATCACACATATATTTTAATAAAAACAAATAAAAGTTTCCCGACAGGTACATAATAAATATTATTTACACAACACAAGAAAATATTTTCAAAGTTAAATTAATTACAATCAATCCTCCTGATCATCATCATCATCCTCAACACCAGCTGCACCGTGACTACCCCCGGCTGCACCTTGTGTAGAAGTCCCGGCCTGTAAATATAAATCAAACGTTAATAAGAGTGTGTAACCGTTAATAAGAGTGTGCAAATATAAATATAATTTCCCCAACACCATAACACAACAACACAACACAACACAACACAACATAACACCAAAATACCACAACACAACACCACAACACAACACAATAACAACAACAACAACAGAACACAACACAACACAACACCACAACCAACCAACCCCACCCACCAACCAACCACACTCCCCCTCCCCCCACCCCTCCCCCTCAACCACCACCACAACCAAATCCCCACTCCCCTTCCTCAACCACGACCAAAGCTCCACCCACCCACCCACCAACCACACTCCACACACCCCCTCCCCCTCCATCACCACCATCACCACCTAATCCCTACTCCTCACCCTCCCTCACCATGACCAAACCCCCCACAAACCAATCACATAATGACCACCACAACCAACCAACCCATCCACCAACCAATATCACCACCACTACGCACGCACGCACCATCAACACCACCATCACATAAAAACATTATAAGTATATATTTTGGGCTTTGCGTTAGGGTTAGAGTTAGGGTTTGTGTGTAACAGTTTGTATCAGTGTGCATCGGTGTGTATGATATCATAATTATATATTTAATTTATTTAATTAAAAAAAAGTAAAGTATATATATTACCTGATCCGACATAAACCGTCTCCTATATGCCTCCTGAGCCTCCTGAGGCAGAGTCGATATGAACTGTGTGAACTCCAATTCTCTCTGCTCCCGGCGCCTCCGTTCTTCCTCCGCAATCCGCTGATATGTTTTTTGTTGCGACTGCCAATCTTCAATCGCTTTCAACCGCTGCTCCATCGAGTCTTGATATGAACTGCTTCCTGGTGTTCGGGGTGGTGCTGCAGACTCGCAGGTGCTACTAGACTCGTGCGGTCTCTGCTCGGATCCTCTCCACTGATATCTGTTCTTCCTACTTGGTCCAATGACCGTCTCGATGATGGAGTCCTCCTCTCTACTTAGCCGGGCAAGAGTGTTAGAACCGACCTGAGACTGAGACATTTGCTCCTGTACCTTGGCATGTAATTTCTCCTGCGATATATCAAAACAACCCGGGCAAGTCGACTTATAATTTCTCCTGCGATATATCAAAACAACCCGGGCAAGTCGACTTACTAATGATGCATTGTTATGAAATATATCATTAACCCATAATATATAAATTATACTCAACTTGACAACTTAAAAGCTAATATATTTTATACCTCAAGCTCCAATTGATGATAATGTTGGCTGAAGGACCTGGAGCCCCCGTGATACTCGTAACTGCGGGGCATGTTGCGGTTCCTCCTTACTATTTTAGCTTGAGCCTACAAAACAATGTCAAATCAAAATAATATAGAAATTCAAACAATAAATAAAAATTTGTACTTCAATAATACCTGAATTACAGCCGTGTCCCAGTAATCACAAAGTACAAAAAAATCTACTCCATCTACGCGCTCGTCAAGATGCCAGAAGCGCTCCCAATCTTCTGTTATTTGAACAAAATATTTTTTCTTCACCTGAAGCCGCCATCTCTTGAACGATAGATTGATTTGCGCGAAGCAGTAAGTCCAGGCACAAATATTATTGTCAAGAAAGAAAAATCGCTTCAGCATATAAAGAAAAAAGAGATACAAATCAGTATATTAAACATAATAATAAACTAATAACTAATAATGATAAAAATTAAAATAAATGACCCACACATATATATCTCCAACAAGCCACCAGCGCATCAATCCGCTGTGACTTCCACGTCAAAAAAATATTGAAGAAATCATGTCTCCTGGCTAAAGCGGCGAGGAAATTGTTGAAAGCATTGGCAAAGGCCCCGACAGACACTCCGTTTTCCCATCGGATCACGGCCCTCCGATGAATATCAGGGATGAAGCTTTGTTCCCTAGTAGCACTGCGGCCGCGCCTAGGAGGTCGCCCGGTACCTGCGAAACAATGAATCGGATGAAAAAAAATTAATCAATCTATATTTTCTATTAAAATTTAAAATAATAACCGATAAACTATAAAAATCTATTCATACCTTTCAGTTCGAGGCATCTACGCCTTGCTTGTTCGTACCTATGCTGCGCGATAGGGCGCAAAGCATGATAAGAATCCCAATCCTCATTCACCATGGCCGGACCATGGACTCGCTGATCCGTAATAGAATCTGGCGGTAGCGCCGCAGCTTCTACAGCTGTGCTCCGCATCCTGTATCATGTGGCTGTGAGTCATGTGTAGCATATCCGCGTCCTGTGTAGTAAATGTTTAAAAAAATGTTAGGCTCACATTAATAATTTATAGAAATGTACAGATGTAACAAATAAATAAAAATACCTGACGTAGAGATATGTGCGTCACCTCCAAAATGTCTACCTAAAAGTCTCTCAAGCGCTTTCTTACGTAATCCTTTTGTCATCTATACTTTGAAAACATAATGAATATCCAACAAAAGCATATAATACAAATAATTAATAAAATAGCACATTGTAACAGAATCGTGTGTACATGATGTCCAGTCAAACAGATAATATAAAGGCAATACTATAATACATGACACACCGTGATACATGATAACCTGTCAAACAGATAATATAAAGGTAATAATATAATACATGACACACTGTGATACATGATAACCAGTCAAACAGATAATATAAAGGCAATAATATAATACAATGAATGTTCTTTTTAATTCATAACCTAGTATTCCATTATTATGATGATGTTGAGGCTCTACTCTGCGATCATGTGCGGATAGCCTACGACCGTATGCGTGCCAACGAAAGGACTGTTCTTATAGTTTTATCAACTCTGCTGTAGACTGGTTTTTTACCTTTACGCCTTGACTCACATATAATCGTAGGTACATCAGGGCGCGCTAATGCAATTTCATCTGCCATATTATTATTTTGTGTCAAGGAAAACTTAGCAACTGTTTCTTCGGCCAAGATAAACTCCTCATCGTGATATTCATCAGACACGACTTCATGAATGTAGGCTCTAGGCGGATTTTTAAGGATAACCCATTCGTCATTTTTCATTATACCTTTGACATAAAAGCACTGTTTGGCGTGAGCAGCTAACATGTAATTTTCAGTCTGGTATATTTCCTTGTTAAGATTAACGAGTGTGTAACCGTAGTCATCATTCATCGTTTTCTGCTCACACCAACGAACCTTAAACATCACATGACTGACTTCCTTATTAATCCCATAGAAAATCTCCACGATGTTTTCTACCTGACCGTAGCAATAGATTTCCCCTTGTATCGGATTTAGATCTTTTGAACTAGCGTATGACAGTTGCGAGAAGGAGCAGAACACACCGCTGTTTTGCGTTTGTCGTCTCTCTTTGAGACCGACGGTGTTAAACCTAAAGTCGTTGACACAGTAGCCTCCATAATGCTTAACCACATTAGAAGGACCTCTAGCATATAAACAAACTTTCTCAGACAGGTTAACTCTATTCGTAATCCGTTTGTCAATCTTTAAGAAAAGAAGCAAATATGTTACATATCTGATGGCAGACACATATATTTGATATCGGGATCTAATCCCATAGAGATGATAAATTTATAAATCAGAAATATAAAAAGATCTTACTTCACCCTTCAGCCATGTAGGGAATTGTCTAGAGTGTGTGTTCATAACTCTTTTCTTTTTTGCTCTGCATTTAAGAGTAGTCTGGACATATCGGATGTGAAGCCTAGACAAGAAGCATTAATAACGGTTAAATAGAGATAATTATTGTGAGGTGATATAATCTGATTCAGTTAAATACTTACGCCTCGTATATGTTAAATGTAGTATCATCGCTCAGGATATATATGTTGGCTTGATCTAGCTCCATTCTGGGGAATCTGGTGTCCTCCCTACGATCATTGTAGAATGTACCGTCAATTATTCGTTGGGGACGGTTTAGCCTTGTCTCTACGCCCCGCAAGTAACGAGAGATAAAATTCAAACTCTCGTTACTTATGTAGTTCTCTGCGATCGACCCTTCAGGATGTGCACGATTATGCATCAGTTGTTTCATGAAACCCAAATACCTACAAGCATATAGTTTCAAGATTTGTGACAAAATGGAACTGAGAAACGTAATTTGACAAATATTAAATGAATATTAAATGAATATTATAATAATAAATACCTCTCCACGGGGTACATCCAGCGATATTGAACTGGTCCTGCGATGCGGGCTTCATATGCTAAATGTATTGTGAGATGCACCATGACCGTAAAGAACGAGGGTGGAAATAGAATTTCAATTTTACACAGTGTATTGGCTACACGTCCCTCTAATTCTTCAAACTCCCTGACATCAATCACCTTGGAGCACAACTGCTTGAAGAAACCGCAATATTCTATTACCACCATCGCGAGTTCCTTCTCAGCATGTCGCAACGCAACCGGGAGAAGTTGATGCAATAGAATATGATGGTCATGTGTCTTGAGTCCCAAAATTTTCCTGTCCTCAATATGCACATTTGCTGAAATGTTTGAAGCATAAGGACATTGCGAGGCTTATTTCCTTTTGATTTTCCCTTTCCCTTCCATTTTTGCTTCAATATTTTTCTCCTAACACCAAATGGATTTTCTTTGTTGAATCTTTTTTTCCAAATATTTTTCTAGGTAAAGGATGTAGAAGCTTAAATATTTCTTCTCCGGTCAGCCTTGGTGCTGCCGGTCTACTTTCTGGATTATCTCCGAACTTTCCTACAAACTTTTTGAACTTGTGCCCTATAGGCAACCATTTTCTGTGTTGCCAATAACAAAACTTACGGCTGTACTTCAGGAACTTTCCCTCATAGTCTGACATGCAAACCGGACAAGCAATCTGACCCTTCGTCGACCATCCAGACAGGCTAACGTATGCCGAGAAGTCATTAATTGTCCACATAACCATTGTCTGCATACAGAAAGACTCCTTACCATAAGCATCATAAGTGCTGACACCTTCTTCCCAGAGAAGCTTCAGGTCGTCAATTAATGGTTGGAGGAAAACGTCGATGTCATTTCCAGGAGAATATCTTCCAGGGATCAAAAGTGACAGTATTCCATGCCTCACTGTCAGCAGGATGTCTCAGTTTCTCATCCTCTTTGCGGCCGATCGAGTATCATCGCATATTCTCAGCCAGCCCGACAGACATATAAAACCTCTGCAGCCTAGGAATAATTGGAAAATATCGGAGAACCTTCGCAGGGATTCTGCTCTGCTTATTGGATGCACCGCCTTCAGATGTGCTTGTAGCTTCTCCTTTCCAGAGTGATACATGACACGTCGGACATTCCTCCAGAGCTTCATTATCCTTATTGTACAGGATGCAGTCGTTAGGACAAGCGTCTATCTTCTTGTAATCAAGCCTCAGCAACCTTCACAGGGATTCTGCTCTGTTTATTGGATGATATGCCTTCAGATGTGCCCGTATGTTTTTTCCAGCGTGATACATGACACGTCGGACATTCCTCCAGAGCTTCATTATCCTTATTGTACAGGATGCAGTCGTTAGGACAAGCGTCTATCTTCTTGTAATCAAGCCTCAGCGCATCAACAATCTTGTGGGCTTCGTAATAGGTTGCGGGCTTTTCTCGCCGCCTGGAATGAATTTCCTCAACAATCTAATAACATCTCGAAATGTGTAACAACCATCTCACTGAGTGTTTGGATATAAAGAAACTTCAGCATAAAAGAAAGCCTTGTGAACTCCTTACACCCCTCGTATAACTGTGACTCGTTTTCTCTCGTATAACGGTGACTCGTTTTCTTCAACAAGTCTCATCAATCGATCTACATCTTGAAACATATCAGTAGTGTTGACATCACTCACCGATGGCGCTGCAAGAATATCTTCTAACATATCAGTCGTGTCAACTGTCGGATTGCCGACTTCAGTGAACTCTCCCTCTGATTGCATCACCGGGACACCTTCACCGTGATGACTCCAAAATACATAAGAGCTATCAAATCCATTGATTGACAAATGGAAACTTACGTCACTCCTAGCGAGCAATTTTCCTTTCCTGCAATTCTTATAAGGACAGAAAATCGCCCCGCTCAGCGACCGTAGAGGGTTTGTGTCAGAGTAGGCTAAGAAAGCTTCTATCCCATCCTTGTATCGGGTGTCTAGATGTCTTCGATCACGTGGTATGCTCATGAACGATTTGTTAGGAACTGTCCGCATCTAGAATTTAAAAATTAATGGAAGTGAGCATATCCCTACATATATCATTTTAATTTAGGGATGTAAACGTGTGTTCACAGGAAAGCATGTGTGACCGGCTGTCAGAGGAATGCTTCTATCCCATTAGGTATGTAAATGTGGGTGTATATGTATTTATGTGTGTTCAAGTGTACTTTCAATTCGTCAAAATTTCGATAGCACCTACCCGCTGTTCTCCGAGTACACTATAGTGGGAAGGATATACTCCTGCATATCCCTCCGAAATTTGTACACGGAGAACAACGAGTAAGCACCGCCGAAACTCTGATGAAAAGAAAGTACACAAGAACACAAGTAAATACATATACATGCCACGTTTGCATACCTAACCCGTCCACACTGGACAGATCCAATAAATATTTATATATAAGCCCCCTGTCACATACGCGTACAAAAAGGTTGTCAGACCGAACAAAATGGTCTCTTATCCGCCAACGATCCTATACGTGTATGTGACAAGTAAATAAAGAGATTATATATAGTATTTATTGGACGGGGAATTCTACGGCTCGAAAATATGAGTGCACAGCGTGTGCAGTTTCTATGTAATTAGCGATATAATAGTTACGCTAACCCCTCACCCTCACACTCACCCTCATTGTAACCCTAACCCTCACCTAGCCCTAACTCCCTCCCTCGCCATAACCTGCGCCCTCGCCCTAACCCTCACCAAACCCTAATCCCCGCCCTCTCCATAACATTTGCCCACGCCTTAACCCTAACCCTAAAACTCACATAACCCTAACCGTCGCCATAACCTTTGTCCTCGCCATCGTCCTCGCCCTTGCCTTCACCCTCACCCTCGCTCTAACCCTAATCCTTAACCTTACCCCCAACCCCACCCTCATCCTCACCCTCACCCTCACCTAACCCTAACCCTCACCCTCACCTTCACCCTCCCCTAACCCTAACCCTAACCCTCAACCTCATCCTCAACCTCACCCCAACCCCCATCCCTCATCTCACCTAACCCTAATCCTAACCCTCATCCTAACCCTAACATCGCCTAACCCTAACCCTAACCTCACCCTCACCCCCACCCTTACCCTCACCTAACCCTAACCCTAACCCTCAACCTCACCCTCACCCTCACCTAACCCTCAACCTCACCCTCACCATCACCCCCACCCCTACCTAACCCTAACCCTAACCCTCACCATCACCATCACCCCCACCCCTACCTAACCCTCCCCTAACCCCACCCCAATCTTAACCCTAACCCTAACCCTCGCCTAACCCTAACCCTAATTTTAGCAAGATGGAAATTTTTTGGTTTTGCAATATCTTATTAGGGTTTGGGTTTTTTTTAATTTTTTTTGTTTTACAAAAATTAAACTGTAATTATAATTAAGAATAAATTTATAAATATTAAATTTAGCAAAATGTCATAACCCCATATATCTCTCTCTCTTCTTCTCTCTCGGTCGGCCGACGCCGACGGCCGTTGGTTTCGGCTTGGCCGGCAACGTCGGGTGGGCGAGAGAGAAGAAGAGAGAGAGAGATGTAGGGGGCAGAGAGAGAAAGATAAATGGAGGGGAGGGAGGTACCTTGAGAGAGAGAGATTGGGCGGCGGGTCGTCAGGTTGGCGGTGGTGGTGGCGGTCCAGCAGGTGGCGGCGGTGTGACGGTCCAGCAGGTGGCGACGGTCCAGCAGGTGGCGACGGTGCCCAGTAGGCGACGACGGCAGTTGAGAAGACGGCACGAGAAAGGGGGGGAATGAGGAGAGGGAGCTAGGGGGAGGGGAAATGAGAAGAGAGGGGGAAATGAGAGAGGGATTTGGGGAAAAATCTCTCTCGGGCGCGGGCTGCCCAAATTTTTTGGGCACGCCCGCGCCCAAAATTTTTTCCCACTTTTGGATTTTAGCGACGGAAATTTCCGTCGCTAAAACCCCTTTTAGCGACGGAAAAATAGCAACGTAAAATTCTGTCGCTATAACATGACTTATAGCGACGGAATTTTCCGTCGCTAAAGTCCCGTCGGCGATAGTTTATTTTCTAGCAGTGATTGAAAATCCCAACTGTCTGCGCAATACAATCAGTGGCCTTATTTCCGCTTCGTTTTACCATTTCAAATTAAAGTTGAAGATAAAAACCTAACGAGAGCAATGAAATAGCTCAATTATCAACTCACTAAGCCAATTGTGCGCGATTGGAAGCTACTAGAAAATTTAGATGGTTGGCCGTAGCTTTAACAATTACTGCTTCCCAGTCAGATTTAGATGTTTCTCTCACCGAGTAAGATATAACTTAATAGCTCTAATTGCTGTTTAACTCGAGTTTGCACACAATACATCGGCAATGTAATCCCAGGAGTTGAATTGAGTTACTATTTTCATTCATTTCAGTTATAGAGTTCCAACAAGTTCAGTTTCGGTGTTTCAAGAGTAATATCATGTTTTTTATATGCAGGACCCGATGAAGGGTGAATTTTATAGAAAATGTTGGGGTAAAAAAAGAATGATGACACAAGCAAGTCTGTGATATAGTTCTGTAATACATTTCAATAACTTGAGCTGCATATTACCTTCCTCAAATCTCTGTCCAGTTATTAAGATATTAGGATGAAGCTCATTTACAAGGTACAAAAGCGAAGAGAGTGCTAGGAAATTTGGACTAGGCAAAGGAAAACTGTAAATTTAGATAGGAATGTGCCAGTGTAGAGGATGATCTTTTTGTTGAATCTCTTCCGGGCTTAATACAAATATGGAAGGGTATGGGATAATAGGAATATCATAGTATGCAATTTGTTATGTCAAGAAGCAGATAAGTACATGAGGCTCTAGGTAAAATATAATGTCATGTGATTCTTCTAAACAACAAGTTCTATAGGGTTATTTCCTAGAAACCACCTTAAAAATAGGGTAAATGTATAAATGTACAAAAAACACCTTTCGATTTTAATTTTCACATAAACCACCTTTAAAGTGGGTTTGCGTTCCAACCAACCACCCCCAATCAAATTTTCACCAAAAAAAACCAAAAATAAGCTTAAAATTTTCACATTCATGACTTGTGTCTTAACAAGATCTAAACATTAACAAAATGGGTCATGTGCTTTGAATGTGAGGTTTTTAAAGATATTTTAGAGTTTTTAATGAAAATTTTGACTGAGAGATGGTTGATTGAAATAAAAACCAATTTTGAAGATGGCTTATGCATAAACTGGAATTGAAAGGCGACTTTTGTATAATTACCATATTTTAAGGTGGTTTCTAGGAAAAAACACTTTTTCTAAAGAACAAGTACTATGTTCGCAAGTAGCAAGCAAACATAGAAGTTCTTACATTTTATGATTTGATGAGGAATTGTTCTTAAAACATCTACCCCAATAATCGTCAACCCCGGATGACTGGTGCTCAATGTCTACAATGTTTTCTATCTAGAAAGTCGTCTGGGTTTAGATGCTGAGGCATTTAAACAAACAGAAAGAGTGCAGAGCAAAAATGCACACGTTTAACTTTCTCAACATGCCAACAGGAGGCAGCGGAGCAAAAATGTTACACTGGTTCCAATGATGCACACCTACTAAACACGGAGCTTGTGCTTGAGCTCTCCTTAACTAATGGCTTGTTCTTAACATAAACGAACATAACAAGACGAAATGAAAAGTTAGATGAGTGAGGCATATAAACAAACAGGAAGAGCGCAGAATATAAAAAAAAAGCGTATACCTTTGACGAGCTCGTGATATTTGGAGGCAGCCAAGGCGGATGTTACTGTAGTTCCACCATCGACGTCATCGTCGTTGAAGCCACCGCCACGATCGGGGTCTTCTCACAAACCCTGAGAGCTCCATCTGGAACGACACGCACGCATTGAAATTGATGGGAGGGTTTAGCGGCGATTTCCAATCTTTCAATTTCCACGGTATACAGAAGAGGGGGACGCCGGAGTCGCGTCAGGGGAGGAGGAGGACGACAATGTGATAACACCGCCGCAGATCCCACCGCTGCCGTCGTCTCTCACTCGGCTCTGCACCTCCTGTATTCGATTCGGTAAGCTTTTTAATCCCACATCGGGTGCGTGGGAACGACTAATATTATTTTTATGAACTAATCCAACTTAGCTAACCGCTGAGCCCGGTAACTCGGGCTTGTAACCCAAGTGGGAGCAATAAGATCGGTTGGATGAGGAAGTGAGAGGATGACTCTTTACATACGGGGCACATACATACATACTCCCCTTACAGGCGCCTCTACACATACACATACCAGGTAAGATTAAATGTGCACTTGAACAACTAAGCCCGCTACCCTCTGCCCTTGACATACATACGTACTTACATACAGTTGGCTTCCCCATACGTACACATACCAAGGTAAGATCAAATATGTGTTTGGACAATCAAGCCTGCTACCCTCCTACCCAAACAACCATCTTTTGAATTTATTTATCCTTTTTCATAAATCTTCCTTTTCAATTTGTTTATTCCTTATTCGTGAACTTTCTTTTTGAATTTGTTTATTCTTTCTTCGTAAAGATCTTAAAACTCATATGAATTTCAAAATTATACATTATACATTATATATTTATTTACGGAAAACATTGGGAAAATATAAAAGATTTTTTATATTCGTGTTTGGACAATCAAGCCTGCTACCCTCCTACCCAAACAACCATCTTTTGAATTTATTTATCATTTTTCATAAATCTTCCTTTTCAATTTGTTTATTCCTTATTCGTGAACTTTCTTTTTGAATTTGTTTATTCTTTCTTCGTAAAGATCTTAAAACTCATATGAATTTCAAAATTATACATTATACATTATATATTTATTTACGGAAAACATTGGGAAAATATAAAAGATTTTTCAATATTAGTCCTCCACATCTCTTGCATTTTGATATTAGGCCCCTGATCTTGATATATTGAATTAGCCCCCCCTAAATTCTTATCCTCCAAACATAATAAAAACTACCAAAGGCCTAACAAAACCTCACATGAGTTTTAACTTAAACTGTCATTTGACCAGTTAACTATTATGTGTCAAGAGGCACACTAAAATTACTTCTAATGCCCTCCTCTTTGAGTTCTATTCATACTCCTATTTTATAATTATCCATCTTGTTGAACAAAACATGTGGTAAAAAAAAAATCCTCCAAGTTAATGTCTATTTCATCTTTGTTTAAAACTCACCAAAGTCTTAAACTTCATTAGATGTTTAGTATTATGAAATATACATAACTCTAAATTAACATAAGTTATTATCTTTTTTTCTTATAATTTATTTCATTATTTTTATGAAAATTAAATAATTCAGAAATGATGCCCTTTTCTATAATTTGGATGTTTTCAAATTAAATTTGAATTTGATCTAATGCGACACTCAATAGTATGTTTTCTAGTTTCGATAAGGACAAAGTTGGTATTTTTATAAAAGGGAGGAGGATTAACCTCCTTAGCTCTTCTTTGTTTACCAAAAGCAATAAAGTAAATAGTTCATTTTAAGTATCCAGTCCAATTGGAATTTAATTATACTTAATTCCAAAATATGATTTAACTTTGATTAAGATGTAGTCAAAAGTTTATATAGTATTTGTTTGAATTAAAACAAATCGGTATATTTTTTGTTAAGAATAAAAGAATTGGAGAAATTTAAAATGCTAAAATATTTTATATAAAATAAATTTATGTTGGTTTGCAATATGTAGTAGAGAAGTTACGATGAAATGTTAAAATAAATGATTTTTCAATATTAGTCCCTTAAATCTTTAATATTTTGATATAAGAGATCGCATCATGATCCAGTGCTGCATTGTTTTAATAGGTTTATTATGTGTTGAACCCTGGATATAAATTCGAAGATGGTGTCTCATGATTGGTGATGGTGGGTTGTCCATCTACCCTCTTCCAATGCCAAAGTTAGGCTATTGATGAAGAAAACTAAGCAAGAAAAAAAAATAAGCTAGAGCAAATTCATCGATTAGATCGGATGAGATCCCTTTACCAGTGCATTAAACAATGTAATTACAACGATTTGCATTAGCAAATTAGGTAGGTAGTACACGAGAGTCTTATCCTGCTAGTCAAGGTGGTTATGATAGTTTCTTGGCTAGTAAGAGAAGCCACATGCCCTGACCTTCTCATGCACAGCAGATTTTGATGACGTGGTCTGCCCCTAGTTTTCTTCTGTCTATTCCTCTTCTTAGCGGACGTTCCTTTAGCTTGAGGGGGCGTACGTTTGCCTCTTTTTGTTGTTCTTCTTCTCCCGAGGTCTGTTGTCGTCACAAAGCTCGCCTCATTTTGCTACCCTCATTGATTGTAAGCCTAAATAGAACAATGGGAGGAACTTCGGCCTAACTTCTTTGAGTAGCCACCTCCCAAGTCATGTAATAGAAAGCCACCATCAGTTGGAATGTGACTTGAACTACTCAAGGCCTCTTTACCTGTGTGAGCCCCCCTACACTCTTGGG